CGAAGACAATTTTGTTGACGGTAAGTGCACATGGTTGGTGCTTTTGTCGATGATAAACTGTCTCAAACCTTTCTCTTAAATTCATTGAATTTCTTGAGATAATATGTTCTAATGAGTAGGTGCTCTTTGAAAAGTGACAGTAAAAAATCTTCTTCTACCTTTTTACCAAGGAGTCTTAAGTTTTCTTAAAAGCTGCCAATCATGCTCTTATCGAAGCAAAGAGAATGGAAAAGTTTTTTTTTCTGGCCTGAAGTACTCATTTTTTACTTGTGTTTATTTTTTGCCGTGTTCTGTAGAACACTTGTTAATAAATTCCCAATGCTCAAAACGTTTTTCTGCATTAAGCATTTAGCATTTTTGCTTTCTACGTACTCTCCATAAATGGATTACAAAACAACGGAAAGAAACTACTTTTACTCAGTCAGAATGATGCGTTATAGCCTAAATCGGCTGGAAAGTTAAAGCAATAATCAGCATAAATTCGGCTTGTAACATTAACGCAAAGACTAAAGATGTGACAAAAAAATATGTTAAATTTACTTGGTGATAGTCCAAGATTTTTGAAGATTTCCTGGTACTTTTTTTTCAAGTCGTCATGATATAAAACAACAAATCTGATATTATTTTTGCTTAATCACACTCGCAACAAATGACCAGTGCTTCACTACTGTTAAAAAGTGTTCCTAATATGAGACAATTTTAACAAGTTATCAAGTGGGATGTGTATATAAGTGAATACATGGACGAAAGAGCGGTTATTTTGCAGTCTAAAAATGAATATAGTTTATTTTACCTAATACCTTGTTGTAAGATGCATAGCTTCCGGGCTGTTTCTTAACAACAAAATCAGATCTATGCTTGTTTTCAAAGAAGAAGAAAAACCATTCATGCTCAACTGGGATTGTTCCTCAGAAGAAAATGGTGGAGCGAAAATCTTTCAACGAACAATAGTTGCAGCGATGACCCAAAAAGGGAAACAAGTGTCACGAATATATGAGAAAGACATTAAAAAGGCATAATTTTCTTAGTCCCCTAGGTCATTTCAGATTCACAAAATTTATAAGGCTATTATTAGAAGAACTGAAGAGAGCTACTATTTGTCACATTTTGGTACCATAACAGTACAGAAAAGCTTATCATAAGTATTCTTCAGGGTACGAAACAACGCTCATCAGTATCTTCAAACAATTACCACAGCTTTCTCAGTGGTCCGACAATAAAACCGCAATGTAATAAGTATAAATTGCGAAACAGTAAAGCCTATTCATTTCAGACTTTCAATGTAAATGAAGTCATGTACTGTTAATGAAATATAAAACAAAAATCACTAACTTACGGAACTACTACCTAATCTTGCTGGTTAAACAGTAAATTTTAGAAACCACTTGGCTCAAAGTTTACCAGGTCTCAGCAAACACAGGACAAAAATTGAAGGTTGCCTATGTAGAAATATAAACAACATGTATCAGCGAAAAAAAAAGTTTTGTGAGACAAAGAAACGAAATATTCTAGAAGCTGCCTATTTTACTAGAACTTTTCTCTTCCACCAAACTGTGTGCCTGTTGCATGATGATTTTTATGCAAGAGTAAGGACGAATCTGAAAATAAATAGAGCAAATCCGCAAAAACTTGCACTGTTTCTAAAACTTCCTAAGAAGTCCATGACAGTCATGTCATCGAAACAAATATAAAAAAAGTTTTAATCTTAAGACAGTCAGTAAGATGTCAAGACGCAAACAGCAGCCTACCTGACAACCGAGCTTTGCAACCCCCCACCAATTATGCAGCAAATATTTTTAAAACTCGCAACAAACAAATAGTTTCCGCTCATAAAGCAATATAAGAAAAACGCAATAACAAAAGAAAAAAATTTTGTTTCTACAAAACGAAAAATAAGAAAAAAATAAAAACCTTATTTAGGTGCCTTTACAGTTGGCAGATGTACTGTTAACTTCAATCAGCTAAGTTTTCCAAAGTTTTTGTTAAGATTTGTTTTAATAAAATTGTTGCTCTTTTTTGAAAACCAAGGACGAATAAAACTTGGAATTCCAGTAAGAGCATGTTGTGTGGCCACTAAATAAATATAAAGATCCCAAGGACAGAAGTTTATTTTTTATTCTGTGAAACTCAAAAAATCAACAGTAAGTTTTCACGCAGTACTTTGATGATAATGCTTCAACAATTTAATCGAAAAATAGTTAGGAAAAAAAGAGCGACAGTAATGTCCTTGAAATTTTACAGGCTTCGTTTGTACACATAAATGAATATGCAGCAAACGAGATAAAATACATATCCACCACCTACGGTGAGACGTAAAAAGAAAAAAGCGGAAAGAAAAACAGCAACAACAGAAAATTACACAAAATTTTCGGACTAGTTTCCAAATTTTTAACAAAATCCCTTTTTACCAGAAAATGACGCTGTCAACTAATCCCGTCTCAGTTTTAGCCTTCCGGCGGTAACAAAGCCATAAAAGAAGCGATCCTTCCCAAAAAGTCAAGGTGGAAACTGCTTAATTTTAGCCAATAAAATAAGATTCACTTTCACTGTACTTCCCCAAAATTTTTCAATTTTGAGCTAGACTAGACTATTGGAAGACGCTGTTTAATTTGCCAGTTGCCAAATGCTCAAATAATCTTGTCTCAGTTTTGAAACTTTTCTACTCTAAATTTGCTGTGCTGACCTTCTATTATACATTAAAAAAACCTCTCCCTCTACCTACTCTTTTACTACATATATATATATATATATATATATATATATATATATAGTTTTCGCAAAAGAAAAAAAAACCCAAGTTAAAGAAAAAATGCCGATTTTATTACCCAGAAAGCTGGCTTAATGAGGTTGAATATTTCTAAACGCGCAATTCTTTAAATGAAGCACTTTAAATTTCTATAAAAGATCCTATAAACATTCTGTATATCTTCATTTATTTAAACAGTTTCGGTTAAATTTTAATGATAAAACCTACCTCCAACGATAGAAAATAAATTATTTATTAGGAAATCCTCCTGAATACAGTAATAATTTCAAACGTAAAAGACCCAAACGGTTTTTTGTAGTCAAAATCGTTGTTAAATCTGCATTTCTTTCCACTTCGAACACAAAGGTAAAGTCAAACATGTACAATTAAATTAAGAAACAAATTTGGTTTTCGAAAAAAACACAGTAAATATAAACCATTTTGAATTTTTATCATACACGTGCTAATCGCACACACAACAAACGTAAAAGTTTTTATAATATTATAGTTTGAAACCAGAGTTTCCTGTAGCCTTTAAAAAACCAATTGTTAACCTAAGCAACTACTGCTAAGAAGTACATTATCAACTTTTAAAAGAAACTTGGCAAAAAAGAGGCAGAAAAAGTGCTACTGATTTGTTCTACTCTCTCGCATAAATGTCAGGAACTCAATAAACAGGAGTTTTATGCAGTTCATCCAACACCAACCAGACAGACGGGTGTTCTTATTGCTAAGGTTACGTACGGCCCGTTTGCGGAGATTAAACAGAAGCGGAAAGCAATAAACAGCATTCCATGGTGTAGTTGGTCAAAGGAGGTGGGACGGATATAGAGGGGCAACGAGGCCACCGCATCACAACAGTCTTTATTTCATGAGTAAAGGGACACCTTACCACCGCGTCGGTTAGCGGTGTAATGTTAACAGTCATTATTCGACTCATTAAAAAGCGGCGCAGACTGGAGGTCACTTGGCAGTTACTGCGCACCCCTGCAGGCGCAGATAGTGGGTAGTGAGTCTGGCAGTGGTCACACTAGCGTTTGGTCATTTAGGTTTGATCGGCTCATAGCGTTTTCGCTGAAGTGTTGCATCATAATTCCAAGTCGCTTACTTTATTCATTAAATCAGGAGAATTTTTCACTGAAGAAGCAAGCTGAAATCGTTAAAATGATTTCCAAAAAAAGATTCAGACATTCAGATTTAATGTATAATATTTGAACAACGGCAAAGTGCTGTCTATTCTCTTCCTAAAGCGAACTTCCTTTGTAACAGTGATATGCTAAGCCGTCTAAGGCTTTAGCCACTTTCGCTGGATAAGAGTTTGAATGATTTGTACTCACTAGAAATCCTCCACCAAATCTCAATTTCTTTCAGTAAACAAGCACCACCTAAAAAGAAACGTATAAAAGTAGAATGAGCCTCAAACCATCTTACCCAGTATCACAGTTAAATTTTGACAAAAGCCAAACCGAATCTTTATTATCAGTCGCTTTTTCTGGAAAATATTCATTTTTACTCCTTCATTCTGACTTCGTTTTTTTTTTTACATCAGTTGGAACTGGGATGCGAGGTCTTTCAGCGATTTTAGACTTCTCTCTCCACCTAATTGCCAAAGAAACCAACTTTGAAGCAAGGTTTTAATTTTTCTTCGTTTACACAGGTCCCTTTATATGATAACAAACGGTTTAAAGGGAACTGAATGCGTCCTGGAACTGTTAGCCGTCGAGACCAGTAGGACTCGAAGTTTGGTCCCTGACCTTTGGCCAATGCTTCTGCAATCGCATGCAAACGAACCAGTAGACTGTTAACCCATACTACACAATGCACAGACTGCATTAAACGGACTGAAAGGCAAGTATTATATAATATTATATATTATATATTGTAATATATAATATATAATATATAATATATAATATATAA